AGGCAAAATCCGTAAAATGGAATTAAAAAACAACCTGGAAAGCTGAAATCTTGCACATAAATCTGTAGCCTTACAGGTATTCAATCTTCAGATGTACTCACACCTGAAGAAGGCTCCACGGCCGAAACTTTGTGTTTTCTTTCTTCTTTTTTTTCAGCATGGTATAAACCTATTACTTGTTCCATTTTTAATACTGGACGAGGATACACAAAACCGTGAGCGTCCCATGTTCAAAACAAAATAGATTCAGTTCCATTACCTTTTATATTACACTGAAGTTAATGGATGTTTTTAAATTCCAAATTTAAAATATTGGAGGGCAGACAGGAAAACATTTCAGAAAGAGGAGGAACAGAATATTTCATGTGTTAACATAACTCAAAAGGGCCTTTCCACTAAAGAATATATAGTTAAGATGCAAATAATAAAATCAATATCTAGACACAACCTGGGAGTAAAATGACATGACCCATCCACTTGACACTTTCCATGTGACCTCTCAGACTTAGTCACCTAATTTAGACTGGATTTGTTAATAAAATCTATAACAGGTGTTGCCACTTTCAATGTGTGCTATATTTCCCGTATTTAACTGAGTAGATAAAGAGGTCAGGCTGTGAATAAAGGAATGCAAGAACTCTAGAACTACCATGAAATCCACAAAACTTTCATTATATATACTGTATCTAAAAGAAAAGATCTGGGAAATAGATTTGTCTTTGATATCCTGAGTAGTGCAAAAAGTACCACTGCTCAATGAGATGCACAATCATTTCGATAAGGAAGTTTCAAAATCAAGACAAATCACTCTCAAGTTCTTCTGGGTGGTAAGCAGCCATTAAAACTCAGTTCTGCAAATATGCTACTAATTCCTGTTAAATTCAGCTGATCCACACCAGCCTACCATAAATACTATTTGGACCATTACTGGAGAGAAGGGATAGAGATACGCACGTTTTTCAGGCCATGAGATAAAAATATACGGCACTCTCTGAACAATGAAGATATAAGGAAATCCTAAAAGGAGGTTGAATGAGGCCTCTCAAGGGATGCAAAAGTCACAGCACAGTTTTTAAATAAGATTCCTTTGAAGGCCCCCAGAGATTCAAGCAGAGATAGTTACTTAGATGTAATTCAGTAGTGTACAATTCTGAGTGCCTTTAACACTAACTGCAGCAGTGGCAGAGTTTTTTTGTGTTACCCTATAAGGAAAGAGATGTTGCTTCAGGAAGAAGGGATATATTTGTTAACTAGAATGTCCACAGGTGGTCATATCTCCCATCAATTACCCTGTGGACAGGTGTGTTTCTATCAGGAAAGAAAACCATGGGTGGACAAAGATATTTGCAGTAAACTTAAGGTGCAGACTGCTCCCTTTCAATCAGGAGACCTTCAAAAAGGAAAGGTATGACCTGGAGAAAGTCAGCAAAGTGGCAAAACAGGAATACAAAGATAAATTAGAAAAACAGCTTGGGGGCACGGACTCAAGGCACATGTGGCAAGGCTTGCAAGCTATCACAAACTACCGTATAAAGGCAACACCAGTGGAATGTCTGCCACTGACACATCTCTACCAGATGAACTGAACACCTACACCAACTTTGAGGCTAAGAACACCGAGCACGCTGTCAAGGCTCCCAGTGACCCAGGGGACTTTGTGTTACAGCTCTCTAAACATGAAGTGTGTAGAGCCTTTAAGAGAGTGCAAACCAGTGCAAAACAGCTGGCCAGATGGTACTGTATTTCCCTCATGTCCTTCATTACCTGTGCAGGTCAGCTATTTCCTGCATACACAGACATTTTTGATCTCTGTCTGTCCCTGTCAGTCATACCAGAGTGCTTCAAGAAAACCACCTTTGTGCCATTGCCCAAGAAGACCAAGGTAACATGTTTGAATGAGCGTCTTCCAGTGGCACACACTCCTGTGGTCATGAAGTGCCTGTAAACCCTGGTATTGTTATATATACTGTAAATCACAGATTCCCACTTCAGTTTGCTTATCATCAACTGAGCTATTTGAGCAGTGCCATATCACTAGCACTACATACTGCCCTCGAACAGTTAGACAGGTGGGACACCTATGTTAGGATGCTATTTATAATTTACAGCTCAGCCTTCAATACAATTGTTTCTGCCAAGATGGTCCCAAAACTCAGGTATCGGGGATTATGCAACTTGACACTGGATTTCCTGATGGGCCAGACCACAGGTGGTGAAAATGGCCACCAATATCTCCTCTACAGTGATCTTAAATAGTAGATCTCCCCAAGGTTGCTATCTCAGCCATAGGCTGAGCTCCTTGTTCTCCTATGACTGTACAGCCATATACAGCAGCAACCACATTACGAAGTTTGCTGATCGGGCTGATCAGCAATAACGATGAGTCCCCATATAAAAGTGAGGTGAAGCATCTGACAAAGTTGTGACATGACAACAACCTGGCCATGAATGTCAACAAGACTCATTGTGGACTTCAAGGGAGCTCAGAGGGAGTCAGACCGAATCAGTTTTGAGGGCACAACAGTGGAAATTCTCAGCTGCAGATCTTCACTAACTTGGTTTGGTCTCACAACATGAAAGCCTGTCTGAAAAAGGCACAACAGCGCTTTCCCTTTCTGCAGTTCCTAAAGAAATGTTGCATGGGGAAGCATCTAGCTCAAACTTTTACTGCAGCATCCAAGAAAGTGTCCAAACTAGTGAAATCACTGAACGATGTGGCAATACTACCATACATGACAAAGACGCTCAACAAAGGGTTGTGGCAATGGCACAGAGGACTATAGGATGTGATTTACCATCAAACAATGAGATCCAGACCATTAGTTGTCACAATAAAGCCTGATCAATTATTAAAGATCCCAACCATCCCAGCCACAAACTATTGTCCCCCTTGGCTCTGACAAGCAGTACCACAGCATTAAAGCACAGACCACTAGGCTTAACAAGTCTATAGCTTTGGCAGAGACATCATTAACAGGTAACTGTATAATCCCACAGAATTTGATGCACCTCCACACTCTTACTTTTTACTTGGCTACCACATATTTATTGTTCTGTCTCCTTATTGTTCTGTGCTACCCGTTGTATGTTGTGCTAAGTTGTGCACAATGCTCACCCATGACTATCATTATTTACTGTTTTGTCATGTACTGTTCACATTGTGTGGTGTTGTCTCTTTTTCTATGTTCCAAGAGAATCATGTGAATAAAAATCACAATCAATATGTACATATGGCAAATAAACTGCCCTCTCTCAAAACGATCAGCTATACAAAATATCCAGCTAGCTAGTCAGTGTCAATAACGGTTTTACTGTGACAGATGTGTAACCTCTCAACTTGAGGAAAAAACAAATTTGAACTTTATTCTACACCCCTGAGGGGTCTGAAATCATCAAGGCAATGGTGTCAGATGCCTGTAAGAGGGAAAGCACAAAGTGAAAAGTGAGGAAAAAAACTAAATCGAACAAAATTCTATAACCCCGGGGGGACTGAGGTTCTCATGGGAAATAATGTCAGGTGCCAACAAATGAGAATGCACAGTGAGAAACTTGGGGCACACCTAGATACTGATAGTAATGCTTGATATGAACTGTGGCTCCCTATGCAAATGCACAGAGAACAGCCAATAGGTTATGATTATTTCAAGTCTTGTCTAGGACATCTCATCTTGTATTTCGGAGTGGAAGGTAAACCTAATTCTTTTTAAAAATGACATCAGTAATATGTCCATTCTGCCTGGCTTGCCAGAAGGCGGTCGCACCATAGAGGAGCAATCTTTGGATGGCAAACAAATGGAGAATAAAATTTAACTTCATACAACAAGTTCATAGTCTCGCTGGATTCTTAATTCAAAGACATCTCCTAAGAGTGTTGGATTTCAGGCTCAGACAGACGGCTGAGAGTTTGTAGCAGTAACCTGAGAACACAGATAAGTCCTCAATATTGATCTGTTGGTGAAACGTATGGCTAAAAGAATCGAGCCTCTAAGAGCCGTTTTTAAAAGTAGATTCACTTAAGTGGGGAAGAAAAGTAAAAATGTCACAGCACTCAAGGGTGTTTTCTTATGCTTTGCTAGAAAAGTGTACAAAAGAAACCACCTGAGAGATGAACATCAAATTGCGATGTCCTGAGAAACGAAAAAAGCACAGAACTCGTAACGGTTCCATTGTTCATCTCCTATATGAAAAGCTTTTGCCCAAATGTCTTCATGAGGAATTGATGCCATCTGACTGACAAGCTACATGCTTTCTAAATTAGCACCAATACTTTAATTGCTTTAGATACTGATAACCTTATTGTAAAACCACAACTTTGGGCGCTATTCACCTCATTTTACACCTCATGATACAAAGATTGTAGTTCTCTGCAGGCAAACTTAAAATTTAATTTTGTATATGGGAAGTCATCTGCCCTTCCAAACTGCACTGTACTGAAGAATTTTGCATAAGCAGGTTTGTTACAGCTGGCCACAGTAGCAAATAAAGGCAATGCACTCACCGAGTTCATGTTGTTTTACATAACTCATTAACAGAATTCAGGAAATGTCTTTTTATGACTGGAAGAAAACTGGTGTCCAAGTCTGAAGGGAATTATATAACATTTTTATTCCCCTTAAATGGCTTGTGAACTTTCTTGTCAGTTTAATGTTTGCAATCTTCTAACTTCCATCTCATAGCTCAGATATCCAAATTCTGTAGATGGGCTGTTTGCTTACAAGGAAAATCATATAGATGTATATAGAACAACACACTCCAGTATGTTTGTACCCTTAACTGCCCAGAGCTTCCGAGTCTGAGTGTATGCCTGTGAACTACTCAAAAGAGAAACATCAAGGCATCTGAATTCAGACATTTTTAGAAATAGGAAATTATGTCTGAAAAATAATTGTTCATGATGAGCCATCAATACTGTGATATTTCAATATTGCTTAAACTCACATACTGACATGATGACAGTAGGTACAGTGAATCCAGGTCTCTTCAGAAAAAAAAAAAGGAGAAACTGTTGATATAACACTTTAATTGCAAAATATGTTCACTGAAAGCCAAAATTGAAGGGATACATGACAATCTTACTGAAAGAAAAGAAAATTGTAAACAACTGTACTGTATATATTTTGGGGGATTTTTACAGACCTTCACAACAGTAAAAAAACATTTATTACTTTGTTCTATCAGTCCTAAAAGTACATGTATATGAACTAATGTGTTTCACTCTCTTGCCAGGCTCATTCCTGTAACATCATAACAGACAGGACAGAGACTGGCATGGCCTGTGCATCTGTATCCTAGATTCTGGGTTCAGTAATGTTAGTCTATTTAGAGTCCCCAAATGAGGATATTACATTACGTTAAAGATTTGATTAACTGTTTGTTTGCAAATACATAGTCTATTCGTACTATATCCCCTGTTAGTCCACCAGCTAAGCAACAGCCCCCCATGTTAACAGTACCTCTGTTTCAAATAAATGTAAAAAGTAGGAGGATTCTTGCTTTATTTGTCTATTTGAATTCAGATTGTCAACATCTCCCCATAATTTTGAATATCACTGTACACTGATTATATTAGTACATTTTGGAACAATCTCGCAATGCAAACACCTCCCATCCCAATTATAAATTTTTAAAAACATTTTATCAATGCACTCTACTGATATGTTCACATTAAGCAGTGAACTGAACCTTTACCATTTTAGCAAAACAGTTTTGGCTGCTCTTTACCATTATCTATATAACATGTAAAACTCTGAAATTCCAGTATTCATTTTACTTCCAATTTAGGATTTAAAAAAATAAACTGAGGTGCACCTCCAGTGCACTGTCAATAATGCACCAACAGCAGATTTAAATTTCAACCCTCACTTAAGTGAAATGGTAACCATCCATGACTTCAATAGGGGTAAACCCACAGACAGCTTTGCTTTTCCATTTCTTCTTCTTCAAAGAAAACCATGGTTGTGTTCTGACAATTGTATGGATGGATACACTTATGTTGCACCTCATTTACAATTTAGCCCCAGTTGCATTAGTGTCTCCATATTAGAGAAAATATGAATCTACCAAAAGTGTCACTTTGGAAGCAGGGGGCAGATTTGAACAATCTGTCTCTTAAATGGGAATGTCCCTTCAATCTGTTCCAAGGACCATATTGACAATCCTGTAAAGCCAGGATACAAAACAGGAGAAGGACATGTAATCCTATAAATAACTCACTCCTGAGTCTCAGTGCAAAATACTGCTGTATTGTCCATTAGCAGACACACTCCTCTCAGCAGGAACAATTCCCACAACCCTTTACGCTGTTGAGGATCTCCTCCTGGAGCTTCTTCCTCTCCTCCTCCTTGCGGGAGAGCCTCTTCTGCTCCTCGCTGGGCAGGCTGTTGCCATTCAGGACCTTGCTGTTCTGCGTGTGCCACAGCTCTGAATACAGGCTGTTGGGGTTGCTCAGTAGAGACTGGTGACTTCCGCGCTCCACCACTCTCCCCTGGAAGTGGGGAAAAAACATAAAGGGCTGATCAACAAGGGCGTGTGATGGGAGGAGGGCTACATACAAAATCCTGAAAAGTGCCAGGCCCTGAAAAAACCGACTTCAGAAATGAATTCCATTCATCGGCTCTTTAACGTCTCTCGGTGCAGACTCGTGCTGCTTGAACATTTTGTCCTCAGTAGTAAATTCCAAAATTCCAATTATAATTACAGCAAGATACATTTTAAGCCATCGCTGTGTCATATGTTCACTTTCACAGACTGCAACAGTAGAAAACAAAGCACTTCCTATTTTACATAGGCAGAATTCTCAAAGTTAAAAAATCCGAAACAATTCACCAATACTCCAGGCACCTAAGAGAAATGTCTTTTCTAGTTATGGCCTTGCTGCTGTTCAGTTTGTCTAGGTTTCTAAGCCCACAGAAAAATTTCACTCTTTCCACGTGATGCTCTGCTGTTTTCCTCCAGTGTCTTCCACTACAGCATCACTATACTTTACATGAACATCACTCTTCTACAACTATCCAGAGGGCTTTGGAACTAGAGCTAGAATTCTAGAGGAATGTGACACACCAGTAAACACTTCAGTGGCAAACACTTCATGTGAGACCACACAGCACTGACTGATCTCTTGATTTACTTGTGAAACTGGCTAACATACTGCAGGTGTGTTAAATTTATCATATAAGTTAAGGTACTGAAAAGAATATAGATACATGTACCTTTACAACTGTCATAGTTTGTTTTAGAAAATACACGATTAAAGCTAAAAAATAAGGCTCAAAAGTCAGCATACAATTAAAATAACAGTTGATCATAATCAGGTGACATTGAACCTGTGCAAACAGTACTCTTTCCTATTTTGCGAATGCCGGTTTCAGATAGAACAATCTTAAGAGAGATTGCCTTCCCCTGATCAGAATCCAGAAGATATGTAAATCTGTTACTGAAATTCTAAATTCCAGGTAGAGAAATATGTAAAGCAATAAAAAGAAAATACATAAAATGTGACCTTTATATCTTTAAAATAACATAAAAATTCAGACAATTCCTTTCACAGCAGTGAAACATTATCACTACCTAAAGGCAATTAAGTAATTCTAAGATCAACTTCCACAGTGGTGTGCCAGCAATATCCGTATAACTTCTATCACGATAGCCTTAGAAAGTGTTTATGAGAACAAAAATTTGCAAGAAAAGAATAAATGCAGAAGTCAGGAGGTCTCTGCCATGGGTAGGTTTTTATGACTTTCTAAATTTATTCGCTGTGGTGTCAGAAGCAAGACTACATCAAATTACAGGTCTGATAAAGAGAATTCATATTCAATGTTCCAGACAAATACAATTTAAATAAAAGTGATTAGTGAATTAATATTGCCTCTCAGCAAAGTGTAACTGCTTGTAAGTTAGGGAAACCATGTGTCTGCTCTTAATTTACATATGCCAACACAGATTGAAAGACAGGAACAATGACTACTTAGTACTAATGTTACCATCTGTCTACAAATAAACCTTCTGGACTTTGGACAGGTTGGCTAGAAACTTTCTGCTAGTCTATGAGCCTATTCCTGCCCTAAAATGCCCCAGTTGCTGTAGCATCCTCATGTACGTGTTTTTATTAATCCTGTGTTGGTTACCACAGAAAAGCAAAATCCCTTCAGTATACTGTAGGACCAATACTATAGATACAGTACAACACCACTAACAACTCCAAAACCTAATTTCAACTGCTTTTTAGACAGATTGCCATATTTACATCCATCTCTTAGTGAAAACCAGCCCTTAAACTGACTGCTGCCTTCTGACAAAAACCTTGTGTTGATCTACTATAAACATATTGCTACTGCATATAAGATATTTTCCAATCACCTTGGGGAGGGGCATACAGCATAAACAATCTGTACCTGTACCCAGGTAAAGATTCCAGTTCAAATCCACAGCTTTGTGTTTGGGCTTAAGAAAAACAATCATTAACAGTATTCTAAAGATGTGCGGAACAGACATTTGAAAGGAAAGAAACGTGCTGTACAGACTGTGTGTGGGAGGCAGCAGCAGGCCTTTCACAGAGAAACACATTTAATTGTTTTTTAATGTCCTCTGCTTTCCTTAGCTATGATCCTCACAGGAATCTGCCAAGAATAATTCAAAGGCTGCATTTTAAAATAGAAACAGCTCATGTTGTCGACAGTGAATACGTATATCATTGTCTCTGACAAGTTGCTTTTATCTTCTGGGACTTATGTGGTCAAGCAAAAAACCTCAATCTGTTTCTGTACAAAACACAAAAGCAGACGAGTGACAGAAGGTTTTGTGGAAGTTTGAGGGATAAATGTGTTCATGTAAAGCACATACAATGCGGAATCGAAATGGACATGGTCTAACAAACTAGACTGTCACTTGAGTTGGTGCAAAGCTAATGTGCACGTGTTTTCCCTCATTATAACAACAAACAGGGACCTAGTAATCCAACAAGCCAATACCAGTGAGTTGTGGCGAGTACACCCACACATTAACGCACGAGCGCCCCCCCCCCAACATTATCATTTGCTTCCCAACCTTTTTACAGATATCCGCCCACAGAATCGTCAAAAACAAAGTATACCACAGAGAGAAGAAAATGGAGGTGCCAGTAAGGGCATGTGTAGATTAAGACCCTTTATTTTAATGAGGAAGGAAGAAAACCTTACTCCTTCTGTCACAGAGTTCCCCATCCACCAATATTTCTTCCTTTTAGGTACTTACTCTAACCATTGGATTTGAAGCCCAAGAATGTATGTAATTAATGCACTATACACATGGACTGCTCCTCAAGATAAATTACACCATATGATAAAGAAAGAAAAAAAAATAGCAATACCTACAATACCTGAAAGAAATTCCAAATTCACTCCTAACTAATAAAAGATAAAGCTAGGGGCTTGTGCTCACCAGACCCACAAAAGGGTGCAAACATCATCAGTATCTACTAGAAGACATATGCTATTTTGGATACTAAGTGCAATCACACTGAGCTGACATAATGCCCTGTTGTGTGTATTGTTGCTGTCCATAGTCCCATTTGTATGAAACATTTTTTTGCAGTGCACAGGTGTCTGAAAACTGCTGGCCAAAAATTGTATCCTAATGTTTTTGGACTCCCAAGCTTCTCTGAAAGCTGTTCCCCTGACTTCTCAGGCTCTCTTCTGGACCAGAAGTTTTAAACAAACAATAGCTGCCAAATGCCAGCTTGGATCTACAATTCAGACAATGTACCTTTCTATTTGTAAAGCATTTAGGATTTTTTGGGGATGAAAAGTTCAATATTAACACAATCAATTATCGTCATGTAAACATCAAGAGCAGAAATTCAGTTGAAACAAGCCATCTTGCACTAAACAAGATAAACTAAGTATCTTGTCTCCAGGTATAAGCAGTTGAATTCTGTCATTGCTTCCAACTTACAAGTAAATCACAAGTAATGGGTAATGTTCCATAAAATCCTTTGTGATCTTCAATTATTCCTTGACACAATTGGTACCTAAGCACCTGATATAACAGTCAATAAATGTAAATGTAAACTTTATTATAGTGTCAATAGTGCTATATAAATATCAAATATTTAATAAAAATAATATTTGGGTTTCCTTTACAAAGAAAAGGGTCATAGAGAGAGAAAACAGGAAATGCATCAAAGATTGACTGTGAATTTTCAAAGATTTAATCATCAATTGATTGAGGTTTACAGCCATTTACTTTTAATAAAGTAAAAAACAAAAATATTTTTTAAATGTATTCAGTGATCTCCTTCAGAAACACTGTAATTAAAATTTTAATTGGAACCAAAAACGTTAGATCACCAGCTTTAGTAATTTGTGTCTTTTTGCCTATCTTTACAGCTTTCAGACATTAATGATAATTCTCCATCAGAGGATTACATCTGATCTAGGAAGTCTAGTCCCTTTTTATGTTGATTTTTTTTCTTTAGTGCAGGCAGATTAGAGATCAAAAGCTTGGCTATTGCATTTTCAGATCAGTCCAAAGTAGTTGTAGTAAGCCGATATCTAGGGATGGCAAAGTTACAGGTGAAGGTCAAGAACATTTATTTCTTCAAGAATTCCAGAGCTGAAGTTTGGCTGTTGTAGTGCTGGAAACTTAACATTTCTGCTATACTGTATGTCATACAAGCAAATGACTGCATTCATTTGTTCTTTGCACACGACTAATAAACACCTGCACTGCTGAAAGGCATATTCTGCTTTCTTCAAATACACCATAGTCCAGTTTTAGGGTGAAGGTTAATTGCATCAGGCCAAATATTTCCTAGCCAGCACAGAGGGTGGGTGGTGGTGGGCTGTGTATTTGGCCTCTGGCTTCTAACACTTACATAAATGATTTTATGATTCCAGACAGAACAATTGCCAGCGATCATGGGTTTTTCATCTATGTAGATATTTGGGACGATCACAGCTAAGGATAGGTTAAGTCACAATCTTTGATTGAACAGTATGCTGAAATTAATAATAATAATTGCTTACACTTATACAGCGCTTTTCTGGACACCTTTTTTTTATGATCACCTCCACCACCACATCAGCTATCAGTGGTGGGGGAGAACAGATTAATGAAGCCAATTCATAGATGGGGATTATTACCATGATTGGTAAGGGCCAATGGGACACCTGGGTTGCATCCCTACTCCTAACGAGGAACGCCCTGGGATTTTTAATGACCACAGAACGTCAGGACTTCGGTTTTAGGTCTCATCCAAATGATGGCACCTGTTTACAGTATAGCGTCCCCGTCACTATACTGGGGCATTAGGACCCACATGGACTGCAGGGTGAGTGCCCCCTGCTGGCCTCACTAACACCTCTTCCAGCAGCAACCTTAGTTTTTCCCAGGAGGTCTCACATCCAGGTACTGACCAGGCTCACACCTGCTTAGCTTCAGTGGGTTGCCAGTTGTGAGTTGCAGAGTGATATGGCTGCTGGCTGCAAGTAGACATGTTGATTAGCATTCCTGGCTCAGACCAAGAACTGTAGCATTCTGCTGTGTTCTGGTTAGACAAGGATCAATTTCCCCTCTGTTTCAGTGATAGTGATTTTTAAATGTATTGTAGATAAAGAAAATGGGACATTCAACTACAAAATACAATCAGAAAATTTCTGACAAGATCCTTGTGCACACCATGATGTACGAAAAAAAACTACAAAACAAAAATAAACACTGTTACTGTTAACATTGCCTTGCACTATGAAAGTCCATGAATTCTGTTTAATACAGGCTATGAAAAAGACCTTTTCTATTCTTAACCTAAAAAATTGTTTTACAGTATTTGCGGACCATGACGTTGAAGTAGGATTTATGTAGCTGTTAGTGCTTTTTCACCAATATTAAGTCTTTTCCTGATTTCCCGATTTTTTTTCTAAATGCTTTACAAATGTTTGATTTCTGTCAATCATTTTCAAAATTCAAGTTTTTTTTGTTAGTTTTTGTTAAATTCTATTTGGTAGTAAAGTCTGATTAATGTCTATACAGAACATGACTACAACTAATTGCAATTCAAATTTTCATTTACATCCAAAAGGAAGTCAGGCACTTCAGAAGTAAGGCAGAACACACCCACCTGGGTGACATGCTGCAGCCATTCTGCACCAGAGGCTTTTCTAGACAGCTTGCCAACCCCGAATCGTTACCATTGTAGCAGCTGACTGCAAACCAGGAGTCTGCCTCATAACTATAAACAACAACTATCTGACCAGTGACCCTCCCAAGCTTCTCTTTCCCAGTCTGTGTGCCTGTGTGTCTCATGGAGAGCAAGATGGAGTATGCGAAAAGACAAATTCCTAATGCAAGAAATTGTCTATGGCTAATAAAGTGATCTTATCTTACTTCAGTATTCACAAAATAACAAAGATGCATTCATTGAATGACTATACAATGATATTGTACAGCATAAGTCTGTCACGTTCAGTTCCGGAAACAAAACAAAAACATTTTACCTGATTCAGGACAATGATTTCATCTGAATCGACTGTGGTAGATAACCTGTGAGCAATGAAGACAGATGTGCGGTCTTTCACCATATCTTTCATGGAAGTGAGAATGTTCTGAAAGCAAGCAGCACAATAATTACAACACAGTAAGACTTAAACATTAAGCACAATTAGTCCCTGTTGTAAAACAGAAAAAGTCCATAATTTTAGGCTCAGCCCTTCCCCCCCCATTCCGGCAGTTCTTTTAAGCATATTCAGTTTTTTCTCTTGCTTCCCTGGAGAGTTCTTTGTTTGCCTTAGTAATATGCTGTAAGGACATGAGTGACAGGACAGATATGAAAAATGCCTTTAGACATAACTTAAGAGCTCCTATAAAAACCGACAGAAGTCCAGGTATATAAATTTCAGCTACAGAGACAACTTTAATAAAGGTTTACCTACATATAATTGTTATTTTAAATTGGATTAGTTTATGTTAGACTGTGAAATACAGAGAAGAAAGACACGTAACTGTAAAGACACCTGCATATTCCCTATCTTGATTATCATCTGCTGGTTGCATATAAGTTTGATGTTCTGGGTGAGTGGATTTCACAGAATCCTCTATAGAAATTGACAGACATAGGAATGACAATTTAAAGCTGGATTCATTAACAATCTTAAATTAATAAATAACCAATAGTAGTTATAGTTTATCAAAACCAAAAAGCATTGACCAGTTTTATAATGTAATGGCAGTATTGACATTTTCATGTATACATGTAAAGCACAAGATGCCTAAACATTATTGCAGCACAGTGTTTCTGTGCTGCTTGGTTGATAAAATGTTAAATTAGTATGAACTGACCAAACAAGTAAACAAAACATTCCAAACTCCTAGTGTATTTAATTAATCACACGACCATCAGACGTGGTTCCACCTGTCTTTCAGATAGCTCTGCAAAATCTTTTTGTGGTTCACCCTCAGAAGACGTTTCTTCTTTGCATCCTTGCCAAGAATGCCACATCCATGCAGGAGATGTCTATCAGTAGTTTTTGACACTTTGCCTCTTGAAGATGCCAGTGTGTGTTGGAGATCTCAGTGTGTTGCCTTTTCAATATATACAGTAGTTGCCACCCAATTCACAGGCGTACCCAGAGCTGTAAGTAACTGTAACCCTTATGGTTTCTAAAATTCAATTATTTATGAGAAACATGACTTTGCTCTGAAATGCAACTACAATTTCTGCAAATATTTTTATAATTGATTTAAGAAAGACAGATTATCTGATCCACAACTCATTCTGTTAGAGGGCGGTTTTTGTTCTTACTTCAATGGGGGTATGAATGCATGTGAAGGACACTATTCATGGAATTACAATACAGTATGCCTACACTTTTCTTGGTTAGGGGATTATTATCATAGGAGAGGCTGTGATGTGAACAATTGTTATATTTTGCAGTATATACCTTTTATAGGTAACTTATAATTCTTAAACTTTTGTAATACAGACCAACTATGTGAACAACTAACTCAAATAAGACAATAAAAATCCAGAGTTCAATGAAAACCATAAGGCAATGGTAGCCCTCTAGGACCAGGACTGAGTACAATATTTAGTGCTGTGAGGTTGTTAAGCAGATTTTACTAACTGCTTTGAACCTAGGAAAGGTTAATTGCATTAAATTACCTAATGCTCAACTACAAAACAGTTTCTTGTGTGCTTTGTTATTCACTTTTGTATCTCAGATTAACACCTTCAGCTTCACCACAGGGGTCCCCTAGACTGAATTATTAATGTTTCTTATAATTTAAAACACATTTAAAATCTTTCAAAGATGACAAGGTGCATCCACTTTTTATACACCAATTAAACCTTATGATTAAACACATTAATTACAGGATTGATGCATGTGTTCCTTATGAGAAGATGTGTTCTTAGTAGTTAATGACTGATATGTTGATTCCTTAAATATATAAAAGTGGGTGTGCTTTTATGGTTGTTTTAAGGTTTAGTGATGGTCACTAAATGGTCAGCCAATTAGGCTTCACCTATGGGATTTACCAAAGCCCTAATCCAGACCTCCCAAATTAGAAAAACATATTTTATCTGTTAAAAACAAACATTAAGAAATGAAAAAAAAAAAGAAAAAAAATCTGTAATTTCACTGGTGAAATGTTAAGTGTGTCCTGCTATGCTTTACAGAAAGACATTAAAGGAGTGCAACAGCACTTGTCGAAGTATATTTTTATCCCCTCGTCTCCATCGGCTGTTAATCAGGTGATTTGCCATTAACCAAGACTATTAAAAATATAGCAAACTTTTACGCACATACCTCCTCGGTGATGGAGTCCAGGGAGGAGGTGGCCTCATCATACAGCAGGATGGGGGGGTTCTTCAGGATAGCCCGGGCAATGGCCACTCGTTGCTTTTCTCCTCCTGTGACAAACATATGATAAGAACATGACAAATCCACCCTTCTAGTGCAGTGGTTCCCAAACTTTTTGGACCAAGTACCACCCCTAATCCAACCAAAGCATCCAAGTACCACCTACAAGTCATCTTCACATAGGAACCCCGGAAAGTCTCAATGACCAACACGAGCGCATGTGCACACACACTCACACATGCATATAATAAATATTATAATAATAAACTTTGTTTGATATATTAAAATGTGGTTTCTCAAAGTGTTTTACAGAAAAAAACAACAACAAATAAAACTGAAAAAGCACCATTTCAGTGAGAGGGGTGAGCCTGTTAAGTCGAGCAAAGCAGATGTGAATTAATTTTTCGAGCCTTGATACAATTCACAACAGTCTTAACAGATTTTAAATTGTCAGGCATTTTCTTGACGGCAAAGGTCTCGAGGTGGATGTTGCAATGAAACCGTTAATTTCTGGAGCAACCTCTCTAATTCGTGCAACTACACCACTGTGTCGGCTTGTCATTGCTCTAGCACCATCTGTACAAATTCCGACACATTTTATCCAGTCGATGCCATTCTCTTCGATAAATTCATTCAGAAGCTGAAATACGTGCTCTCCTGTAGTTCCTGTTAGTAGCGGCTTACAGAACAGAAAGTCCTCACGGGACGTACCCTCAAACTTGTATGTAACGTAAACGAGCATATTGGCCAAATCGACTACAGACTCATCTAATTGCAGTGAAAAACATCTGCTCATCTTAACGCGCTCTGTCAGCGTACTTTTGATATAATCCTTCATTTCAATAATTCTATGAATGACTGTGTCTTTCAGGGGGGCAGCAGGTCGAGCTGTTCAGCAGCTTTTTCTCCACACAAAATAGTGCGGGGCTTACCTGCTTTAGCAATCCGCAAGTTTGCATTTTTCCATGTTTCCGTTTTTATTTCAGTGTTTATTTTAAGTATTTATTTCATGCGCATGGGAGAGAAACATAGAGACGCTCGGTGTATTTTTCTCAAATTAACTTAGAACAGTTAATTAATATTTTTCTGTTATTTTTCATGCTTTCCTGTGCTCACAAGATTACCAGCGTTTGTAGCACACATTTCTATGCATTCCTGTGTTTACAATGTTGGCATTGTTCCAAAATCACGCACATTCTCCTTTCTCCCTATTTGCTGGAGATACAGTAGCTTTTTTAAATACAATTGGTCCCTTGCGTTTATAGCACGCATTCCTATAGAGTGGTATAGAATTGCAGAGTATCTCTTGTGTCCACTTAAGTATTAGCGCGCACTGTATCGTAGTACGTAGGCTGCGTGTTCGACACATATAAAAATACAAAATATGAAAACCCGTCCCGATTTTTTCAGGACACACAACACAGTTCCAGGGTCATTTGGCGTACCACCTGGCGGCACACCACGTACCACTGCAGGTACGCGTACCACAGCTTGAGAACCACTGTTCTAGTGCATTGGAATGCTGTTCGATTACCTACATGGTTCTTAGAGCAGGGGATGCGAACAGGCTGAACAAGCTCATCAAAAGAGCAAGCTCTGTCATTGGGTCAGACCTGGACCCCCTGGCGGTAGTGGCTGAGAGGAGAATGGTGCCAAACTGGGAGGCCATAATGGACAATGTCTCCCATCCCCTCTATGACATGCTTGTGAGAATGAAGAGCACGTTCAGCAATAGGCTGATCCATCCATGGTGTGACAGGGAGCGCTACAGGAGGTTATTCTCGCCTTCTGCCGTAAGACTTTACAACTCATCCACTTTGTGTCTGGGCAGGGGCAACATTAATATTGACCTGTTTCTGGACTAAGCAGTAAACTCTCCACATCTGGTTTGTCCTGTTAACAACTGTTTTTTGTGCAATATATGCCAGGGACTTGTGCAATATATTTATAATGTGCAATACAACTTTTTGTGTACTGTTCTGGTTTGTTCTTTGTATATTCTGGGCTGTGAGCAACTCTTTTTAGTGCACGTCTCACTGACTGTACTGATTGTATTGTATTGTATTGTATGTATTGTATTGTTGTATTATTGTATCATTTCGTTACACTGTTGCTGTGTTGACTGTATTAAGCTGCTGTTTCCCTCACGGGATCAATAAAGTATCTATCTAACTGCCTGTGTGCTTCACCCTTCAAGTAGTAATCTATTAGTAAATATCCATTACATTTTCTAATCAGCATGGTAATGGCTATGAAAAGCAAAAGATGTCTAAGCATTTTTGCTACACAGTGTAAAACACACATTAATTATTCCTGTACTGCCTGGTTGATAAAATGTTAGATCTGTATGAACTGACTGAACAAAACGTCAAACTCCTTCTAAAGTTAATTAATCGCACAGTTATATAACAAAAGTACAGAGAGGTGTACATGAAGTGAAACATCATCAGTGAAGGAACTAAAAAAACAAGGATATCTGCATAGCAGACAATTTTACTGGCCATGCCAACATCATTTCCACATTTCCACAATTCATAACATCTACTATAGGCCAAAAGGATTTTGGGAACCACACTTCAAAAATGAACACCAGGTTGTGATACCTTAGTCAAATTGTGACAACGTCTCAAGTATGTACATTTGCAACTGCTACAAAGAAGAATAGATGCTACAAAGAAGAGTTTGCAGTAAAACCTATTCTTTGCAACATTTTGTTTTGAGTATGTTAATTATATTTTAAACAGTCTTCTGATTCCTTTCAAACCTTTTAACATGATTTCCAAGTGGCTTCATAAATTTGATTGCCACCATAAAGACATTAATGATAAGTACTAAAAAGGATGTTTAAAAAAATCATACAAAACTTAATGCATACCATTAGCAAACACAAAAATAATAAAAAATAATCTTCAGTCAAACTGTCTCGTTAACCTGAAGGTTGCAGGGCCTAATAAGCAGCAGAAGTTTCTTTGAGTAAATGTCTGAGCTTAAGGCCACAGCGTACCAGGTATACACTGCTGTCTGAGAAGCACTCTATTAAAGATAAAAATAACTCATAACAGACCCATGAGTCCAAATCTAATTGGTGCTTAGGTGACCTGTAGCACTCTCAACATAACATACTAATTTGTTACACTTGCGGGGGTACTATCATGGATAGAGAAGAACACAAAGGCTTTGAGCTGCTGAGTTCCACTATTCAGATCATCCCTTCAGTAGCAAACTCACTGCCGCACTTAACTTAATATCCTCATTTAGCTGAACATGCTTAAACTACCCTTACACCGTCAAATGCAGCAATTGTAAAGCAGGCACTAGAGGAATTTGTTTGAAAGCATTAGGTTTCTTCTATTGCCTTGCAGATATTTCCCCAAATTGCAAGTCAGACTCATCACATTACCTGGCACATACAAGAACTGAAACAAAATCAAGCTATTAACTCACACCTCTGAGAGAATTCCTCACAAAAAAAGTAGAAACCTAGGACCCTGAACCTTTTGAATGAACTTTAAAGTGCAGAGTTGTCTTGAGGTGAACCTGACTCACCAGCCAAATGCATCATTCACTATATTTTGAAACAACTTCCCCACTGAGGTAAAGGGAATCACTGACATAAAAAGATTCGCATTTCAGAAGCTGTTAAGCTAAATTTAAGGATTACGGGAAAAAGATCCATCTTCTAAATTATTTCAAAAAGCTTGGTTTCTGACAGGTCCTTTGACCAGCTCTGCATTGTTACTGTGTGACTGCCCTTGCATAAACTCAACAGAGCTCTACCACAGTTATATTGCTCCCAATGGTAGAAATGAACAGGTCTAATAAATCACTGCAGAAAACAAAAATTAGCTTGCACTCACCACAACAAAATAAGATACAGTACAACCATGAGCAATGCAGATGCTTTATGAGTGTGTGGCAAATGAATCTTAAATGATGCAAGTAGGCATTAAGAAGGTTGCCAAAAACAATACTGATCTTGTAGTGTTACAGAGGATTAGTTTAAAAGACAGAAAGAGAAAGGTACAGAACAGTAAATGAAAATGGTTACAGAGCAATTGAAGATATAAACACAAGGATGTTTATAAACGAGAGAAAGTCATTTGGCCTATCAGGCTTGTTTGTAAATTAGTAGCTGATTTATCCAATGTTGTAATTCATTTGTTTTTAATTGTGTACTACTATTGCAATTTATTTCCTATATGCAAAACGACAGTGGAGGTGATGTTAAGTATTAGTGAATAATATTAAAAACAGACATACAGGCATAAAACAAGTTCCCAATAGCTTGTATTTGATACAACAGTTGATATTTGTATCAATTTATGGTAAATTAATATGAAATGTAAACATTTACATGCAACCCTCATTCATTGTAATTCTCAGTTGTGAGCTCATAAGACTCTTATAAATTAGGGTTTTCAGATGTCAGATAGACAAACTCTCTACCCATCCTTTACATCCTGCAGTGTTTTGCTTCATAGCAGCAGACATATGTAGCTGCAAATGGCACCAGGACTTTCACTGTTTTCCTAATAAACTCAGGATATTCTTCATTTAACTGAAAACTTGAGATGTTTCATCCACAGCTCTTATGCTTCTGCAACAAAAAGTGTCCATTTGTCAGTCAGTCTCTCAATCGATTTGTTATTTTGGAGCACGTTCAAGCTGTGCAGAATTTCCTTACTAGTGTTGCTTGTGAACACTGATACAGTCTCGATACACTGTGCTGATGTTTCAATTTCAACACATTAAGGTCATCAACCACCACAATTGAACCTACATATTACATGTAACATATCAGCAAACTTCTGAGGCTCCAATATTCCCATGCTCATCTGTTTGTGCCACTTTATGCTTTTGTGATGAATCCTTTCCCCCCACACACACAGATCTATGATTTTGGCATCTGGAACCTGCATGCTGATGTTGAATCTGTTCAGTTCATCATTAATGTCTGCCAAGTAGGCTAATTTTGCATTCCACTGGTGGTCTTTGAAATAATCTACCAGCACGGAATTCTGACCTGGTCACTTGATTCTGCACACAGATCTCCTTTATCCATACAGACCCACGGGAGAGCCAGTGACACTGGTATGTAGCAGGTAGCTGTGAGGCTGTCGTCGCAGCAAAAACCCCATATTTCTGAGGCCTAGTTTTTAGGTAGCTCATTTTTACAACATAGAGTAAAACACTCAATTCAGGGCTTTAGTGTTTTCACTGTCAATGTTTCTCTCTGTAAAATGCAATGGGTTTAAAATTTTCTGCTATCTGTTCCAGTCTTGTAATTAGTCCACTTTTGTTGCCAATCAGAGCCCTTGTACAATCTGTGTGTGCAGTTATCCCGCTAAAGGCCATTTGTACTTATTTAGAAGATATACTGTTTCAGCGCTTCAAAAATTTATTCTTCGACGGACCGTCTGTGTTGACAGTGGAGGACAAGCAAGAAAATGCTCAACTTTGTTACTCAAACAAATATCAATTAACCAGTTAAGCCTGGTTTCCAATGTCCATAAATCTGTATACCTGAAGCACATGACCTATTAAGGCTTAAGCTCTTTCAAACAGTTGTACCTCAATATCCTCTGCCCTTACTTATCCTTCGATAAAAGGTGTTGTCTAAAACAGTTTTTGTTCCACTTGCCCATTGCCAGAAAGCGACTTGCAGAAGGAACAATTAATGCTTCTCTGTTTGTGCTTCCAGTAATGTTGGGAGTCAACACTTGCTTTTGACATTTGAAACATTTGAGCCGCCATTTAGAAGATTTAGTTGATCTTGCAACCAAATTCTCATGCTTTGCTTTTGTGCATCTTCATAATAGAGATGGTTTCATACAGCCACCAATGGAAGGCTCTTCCAAGCAGATAACATTTAGTCAACAACTGTAAATCTTAAATCTAAATATGAGCCTTTGTATTTGTGAGACTTCTGTTATTTTGTTTTCTTTGGCCTTTTTTTCTTGACTGTGACAAACAAATCCATTTTTATTATAGAAGAGCAACCTAGTTAACCTGCTCGAAATAATTCAACTTCTGTTCTGCTCCATAAAATGCATGTACACAACTGACAGCCATCAACACACAAGTGCAAGTTAAATAATTTGAAAATGTATTTTTTTAAAAAAACTTTTCAGTATCAGAAGACAGTTAATTTACAAATATTTCATTATACAGTATATAAAGAGAATCATGAAATGTTCAATTATACAGTTTAAATGAAAATGAAACCAAAACACTCATTTCTATTTATCTGCATATCTGTTTTATGTACCCCCAGTAATAAACCACAGAGGCAAAATATTCCTAATGTCGATTTTTTTTATGTACGGTTACACAAAATGTTCGTAAAATGGCTTAATTCTGTCTTTTTAAAATACAATTTTAAAACGCAATTCATGTAATTTGTTTTATTAGGACCATACAAAACCTGATATTGAACTAAATAAATCAAACCAACTGCTAGGATTGGTTTCCTTGACTTTAGAAGAGGAATGCATTTTAGCATGTTACGATTTTTATAAATTACGACCAACGGTTTCCGGATGTTCCACATCAGTAATTCTTAATTTTGACATCCATTATAGAATTCTGTGCTGCAGAATGGGTTCTGAATTAAGCACTATAATTGCAATTATTCAGAAAAGCTAACAGTGAACAAACTGAATGAAATTACAAATGGAATTAGACTTAGATGGAGGTATCCAAAACTGCTTATGCAGTCCTACTAGGAATAGCTGTGGCTTTCATAGCTTACACAAATACGGTCTTTATGTGATGTGCTGCTTTATCTCCTACTATTCAAACTTCCACTAACTAACAACTATGTGGAAAAGAATATCAAAACTAGTATTTTAGACAAGTGGGTTCACATAAGAGCAAACCAAAAACTGATTAAACAAAAAAAGTACCAGAAAGCACAACACAAAAAAATAAACCATCCAGTTTCAATTATTTGGAGCTCAAAGCAATTTGTGAAGTTTTTAGCACCACTGCAGGTTAAAGAAAGTTTAAATCAATATTAAATGTCAATCATTGGCTGACATGTAATTTCCAGGAAGACATCAAAAACACTACTGCAGTGATTTCTGTCTTACAAAGACTTTTACATGAGACATTGGTCACAGGACAAATGGAGCTTCACTGACTTGAGTTTCAAGTTTATGGCCATGTGGCCAGTCACAGGCGTTACTTTAAATGTATTTCCTTGTTGGTTACATTTTACTTACAGTGCCTAGTGGTGCACATGGTTCTAATGATGCTGCCTGTATTTGAATACACAGTCTCATGACTATAGCACTAAACATGTATGCATGTATGCTTCCTTATTTGTTAATGGGCTCATGTGGCGTTAATTGTATTATGTGATGTGTTTTACTTGCCTTTACAGCGAATTTTCCACCTGAGACAACAAAAGAAATGAAGTAAAAAGGAAGTAAGTAACATGCAGTCAAGGATGATGGCCATTGCTGATTGAGCCCCTTAAAAGGAGGATTTTGACATTCTTAAAGCATCAGAGGCGTTCTGGGGTAATAAGGATAAAAAGTTACGTACCCGAGAGCTTCAGACCTCTCTCTCCAACCTGAGTGTTGTATCCGTGAGGCATTCGGAGAATGGCGTCATGAATCCCCGCTAACTTTGCAACTCTGTACACATCCTCAAGTGAGGCGTGGATATTTCCATACTGAAGATTATATAAAATTGTGTTGTGGAATAGCACAGCATCCTAGAAATAAATAGGGCAGGGGTCAAGACATGTTGCATGTAAACCACATGCAGCATTCTAAAACACCAGAGTCCATATGGTGGAAAAGAGACCGGAAATGACTAATTCTGCATGAAAACCATCAAAAGCATTTGGCAATACAGGAGAAATATTTAACATCTGTATCCTTAACTGATAAAAAATGTATATAGATGATAACTAATTTAATAAACTTCCCTTTGATCCACATAACGTTCACTGTGACCAGCTAAATCCTAGCTACTACAAAATAGGTAAGTTTCAGTGAACATAAACATCCCCATTAAAAATCAATATATTTTTAGAAAAAAACTAAAATGCCATAAAAGGATGTTTCTAAATGCAAAGTGCAGATTTGCTGCTTAAAATTCAGGACAGAAATCTACATGCCCTTTTATTACAGTTCACACTGGTGTAATACGTGATGATATCGGGTAAACTGGAATGCCTTTCCCTTGGACAAGACTGTCTCACCTGTGGTACAACTCCAATGGCCTTCCGCAGACTCTCAAGGCTGATATCTCGAATATTCTGGTTGGCAATGTAAATACTGCCTTTTTGAGGCTCATAGAAACGGAACATCAATCTCACAATTGTGCTCTTCCTAAAAGAAACAGAGGAACACTACAACTGAAGATTTACAGTCTGAAAAAAACACAGCAACCTCACTCACTGCTTTTACAAAACTGCACACATGTTTTAAGTTTCTGCTTCTGCTCTTTCTAGTGGGCAGAGAACAGTGTTCTTGGGTCCATAACGACAATCCTGATCCAATGATGTTTCTACCAAAACTAACCTTACAACTGATGTAAACCAAGCTTTAATAAAGCCCTAACTGAACTGAATATGTACGTATTGCCTGGCTTTGCAAATTTTACACGGAAACATTTCTTACAATTTTAACCCCACGACACAGAAATTTTGTAGTTGTCAAATTTGCAGAAATTGCCCATAGATTTTAGATTTTAAAACTGTTCATATCATCAGTTGATTGTCCGGGTTGCTTCTCTATCATTAAAGATACAACTAAAATTTGTTATTTAGACAAAATGTTAGAAATTTGCATATTATTCATCTAACTGTTTTATCAACATCATTTTCAATACTTAACACAATACAAATCTTGGTAGCTGTGATTTTGAAGTGTTAACGAGAACATCCTCCATAATCTAATTCTGCCTCAATACATCTGTCATACGTGGATAATGAAATGTTGTATTTAATCATACTAATTTATTTTAAATCACTTATTTTACAAAATGTGTCTATATGTTTTATGTAACTGTTGCTCTTTGAAAAGGTATTTATTCTGGTAAATGAAAGTAAAATATCTACACATACTGTATGCACTGGCTTCCGGTCAAATTCCGTGTGGACTTTAAAATCCTCATGCTCACCTATAAGGCTCTGCATGGCTTGGCACCTCAGTACCTGTCTGAACTATTATTGCCCTACTCCCCACCACATAAGGCATGATTCGCTCTTCTAATTCTGCTCTTCCTACTGTCCCCCAAGCCCATCTACATTGTATGGGTGACAGGGCCTTCTCCTGTTATGTCCCCAAGCTCTGGAACTCTCTCCCCAAGGATATCAGAGAGTCACCTTCTCTAAACTCCTTAAAATCCAGACTCAAAACCCTCTTCTTTAGAAAAATCTTTACGTAACTGGTTCCATTCTTCACCCCTCTGCTCTTCTAAGTACCACCTTCCACGGTCTCCTCTATTGTTATTGTTGTATTGTTTTAATTGTAATTGTGTCTTATCTTGTGTATTCTTCTTATTTATTGTAGTATTCTTCTTATTTATTGTTACTGTCATCCTGTAAAGCGCTTTGAGAAGCCACCTTTAAAGGTGCTATATAAATAAAGTTTATTATTATTATTATTATTATTATTATTATATACTGTACCACATGTTTTGAAAACATTCACCAGGTAATTCCACAAAAAGATTGTTTTAAATGGACTTTTCAAATTCTTTTTTTATTTTCAAAAATGTTAAGCTTATGCTCTGGTTGACAAAATTTCCATCACTCATCCAATAATTTTAATAAGTTCCCATATTTCTTGCAACATTTTACCATGGACAAGAAGAAACCCCTTTCAATACGATTTTGTCAGCTAGTGCTGTCACATCTACATTATTAAAACACTGGGTAGACATTTTCACTTATCCTATTCTGCCTCTAAAATTCAAAACTCTAAAATTCAATTAATCCCATTATTTGAGCTCCCTGGAGTAAGCCTGGGTTCAATTTGATATTGCAAAGCTAAAAAAAATAATTGTTATGGCTTAAAATGAAGTAATGTGCAGTGAAGAGAAAAGTGAGTTATTTCTTTTGTTGGTGATGTTTCTTAATCCCCAGCAGGACACAAAAGGATCAACAAAGAGCTGTCAGTGTTCAGCCTGCCAACTGCTCTTGCAATGCCCTAATGGTGATTAGGTCACTTTATTCTGCACACAGAAGAGGTCTCCTAATAGCAGCAAGAGTTTTGGAAAATTGTCTCGATCTGGAAATGGACTATGCTCCTATAATTGGCAGCTTTACAGTAGGGGAAAAAAAGCATGATGCTTATGACACAAAAAGTAGCACTGTGTTTGAACAGTACTGTCACTCCCCAGCTACCTTCCTTCTGCTTCACTGCTTCTTATGCTTTCCAATGCCTTTTACACAGCTAGAATACTTAAGAATCTGTCCTGCCATGAAAAGCATCATGCCAGCACTTAAAACAAACTTGTTTTTAGGAAAACAAAATGCCTTTGCTTTGGCATTATCTAAAATGCAAAAATGAAAAGATTCATCACTGGCAAATGCTGTAGATATCAATTCATAGTCTAAAATGCTACTGAACATGATAAATAACTTATGTGGCTGGTATGTTGATGGGTTATATGAGGAGCATGTTCAGTTCCCCTCCTGTGCAGGAATGCATAGTTGTAGGACTGCAGGAGTCTGGAACGAACTGCCCAGCCACACTGTTAAAGCCAACACCTTTGTGTCTGTCTAGAAAAGGCTGGGTAACACCTTTCGATGACATGCCTACTATAAACCAAATTAAATGGGCTGAAGTACCTCCTCTCGGTACCCAACTTCATGTTTTTATGTAATTACTCCATAGATAATTTTGTATCTGGAAAATGTGACCTTACCAAATGAACACCTGATGAAATTCTTTAAGTCCCTCCTGTGATCCCTATTGCAGAAGTGCTACTGAGAGCAAATGCAGATCTTAACTTTAAGGACAAAAACAGGAGCTTAAGAATTCAGTTTATTCAGTAATTTTTTTTCAGGATTCTATCTGAAATATAATAATGCTAACCCTCAGACAAGGTGATTTCCTTGTGGCAGATGACAACTAAGCGCAGGACTGTAGCTGCACTCATACTAGCCTGTTTCTGAATTAATACATACCCAGACCCACTGCCACCGACAAGTGCCACTTTCTTCCCAGCTGGGACTTCAAAGGACACACCATTGAGAACTTTCTGCCCTTCCAGATATTCAAAATATACATCCTCAAACCTGATGGTGGCTGTCTGAGGTGAGATCAGCAGGGGTGGAGCCATGTCTTTCTCCTAAGGGGAAAGCGGACGAGAAAGAACCACAAAAGCTGAGACTATGGGACACCACAAAGCTTCAACACTTGCAGCTCAAAGTGATTTTGAATTAATATTACTGTAGCGTAATGTTTACAACAGAGTAGTCTGGGTAGGGACATGTTCAGAATAATCATCTTGTTAAATTTACATGCAACCAATGTTCTTGTTTAACAAACACACTTGAACATTTTTCTCTTATTAAATGAATAAGGTATCTCAGTTACATACCAAAGATAAAGCAGAAATTGCTTTACTTCAACTTAGCTACAGCAACATTAAATAATAATAACTTTTTTTTTATAAAGCACCTTTCCAAACCCAGGAACACTGTACATAGAGAATAAAAAGAACAACAAAAAGTAAAAGACTTATTTTTCCAACATCATAGGAAGTACGGTCAGACATTGGCCTTAATAAAAATGTGCATTTGAGTTTCGATATGAAGAGAGTCAATTTGTCTCATGAAGAGTTTGAGGATGGGCATTAAACGGAGCAATGACAGAAAAAGCACAGTCACCAAAAGTCTAAGATTTAGTCTTGGGTACAGTGAGCAGAGGACCAGCCTCAACCTGGTCCCCCAACTGAATGGAGCTTGTAGGAGGGAGTGTAATCATGGAGGAGTTCAGAGATGTACAGTATGATGTAACCAGATTATTTAAAGCCTTAAATGTCAGTAACTGGTTCTTGTATTGAATACTTGACTTTATTATAGGCAACCGATGTTAAGAGTTAAGTGTAGGAGTGATATGCTGCTAAGATCTGGTGTGAGTTAAACGTTTAGCTGCAGAGTTTGGACATTTTATTGAGAACAGAGTAAAGGAACCCATAGAGTAAAGGATTGCAGAAATCAAGTCCTGATGTTAGAAATGCATGAATCAGGCACTCAGCATAAGACACTGATAGAAATTGCCTAATGCGGGAAGTTTCAATGCAAGTCTATCATCAGTATCATCTGCATGGCGATGAAACTGCAAACCACTATTGCGTATAATCTGACTGAGAGGAAGCATATAAATAATAAAATGTAATGGGCCCAAAAATAAACCCTGTAGCAGACTGTGATTGACTGGGGCCTGGGAGGATTTATGAGGACCAAGGGAGACGACATGCTGTCTGCCAGTCAAATAAGAGCAGAACCAGAACCATTAAAGGTCACGGTATGTTGGAATGGGAACATAGAATAGATACAAGAAGATCTAAATCTTCAATCCTGGTTACATTATTCTTGTTTACAAGTGAAAGAACTCTGCACAGTTAGAGGAATGAACTAATTCAGTCGTTCCAAACCCTAGGCTACCAGGGGACAACATCTGGTCATGAAAGACACCTGCTCTTAACTTGCAACTAAAATGTCTGTAACAGTTTGTCTGACCAGGCGGATTTTACTCACTTTACCTGTTTCTTATCTGCTAATTGCACAAGTTGTACAGAAAAAAACTCCTTAAGAATGAGCTGATCATGCAAGGCAAAATCAGATGTTCTTTGAACTCTGTTGTTAAACAGCCATATCTTGTTCTTACATTGTGTAATTCAAGGAAAACATATTAGTCAGGAGAGCAGAAGTCTTGGTGAAATCTCTCTCCCACCCTGAGTTTCTGTTCTGTATAAAAACTATATACTGTAAGCAAGCCTTTGAGTCTCACCTTTCAGATCTGTTTAGTCTGAAGGTGGGCCTTTTGTATGCATACATAATAAAGGCTTTCTCTTTATCTCTCTCATGGGTGTCCTTCTTGGAGACACAACACCTCTTACAAATTACATTTGTAAATGTGTATAAATTGATAAAAAATAGTGAACCTCCACTTTCACTGTTGGAGTTATAGGTCTAAGTACAGTCAGTAATTCAATTCAAATTCAGGAGGTAAACATGTATCTTTTTAACTACAGAAAGACTAACCTTACCTTAATTTTGGTATCGACACTGAGGAGTGTGAACAGGGTGTTCATGTCTATGAGAGCCTGCCTGGTTTCTCGGTAAACAGTTCCCAGGAAGTTCAGAGGAAGTGAGAGCTGGAAGAGCAAGCCATTGACCATCACCAGGTCTCCCACTGTGAGGGCCCCTGAGCACCAGAGGGGAAAAAGTGACATGTAAAACTTGAAACATTTTCAATCCTTTTGATTCATCCATTTGATATTTTACTTGAGTGATCAATTTAAGTTTTGCCTCAGGTATCTTCTTAAATACCAGTTCCATTTTTTTTGTTGCCCTGCATTAACCAATTCATGGATAGGTCTTAAAGGCTTTCATCTGTTCACATTAAAAAAAGGTGAAAGTCTAATTTTGCTTACAATATGTGGATTTCAAGGTTACAGCCTAAGTAGGATTAAGTATTTTACAATGTTTGTTTTTACAGTACTGTACATCTTGTCACATCTGTCACCACCTGCACTGTGTGCTTTGAATAACATCAATTTAAGCAAGTCTGTTATTGTAAGGCTGAGTTAAGGCACATCATACAACATGCAGCTCTGCAGTCAGACACCATCTGACATAGTGTTGATGCCATGTTAAAGCAAAAGCTTAATTTCACCACACTTGCATTACAAAATTAATTTCCATTTGGTTAAGGTTTGATGTGTTACATCAATTACATTTCTTTACCCAAAGTGTTGTGATAGTGAACATGGAATGAGCTACACAGCCATGTTGCTGAGCCCAATATCCCGGTTTCTTTCAAGAAGTGGTTGGATGAGATCCCTGGATCCACTTAACTACCAAACTGGCAGAACCTCTTGATTGTAAGCCTTCTTATATTCTTATACTATATTTATTAAAATCATATTTAGAAGCAGAGAAGGGATTTTCCACAGATACTGTTTTGCCTTGTGTTTTCCTTAGCCTTCAGGGAGTTTCTTCATGTTGTGTGTTTCATCACTCAGTTCCTATTTTTGTTTGTGATAATGCAGAGGCTACTAACTGTCAGATATAAAACTAGCTCTGTTTAAAACAAGTGATGAGAACAGACTTCATTACATTTTCAGATAATTTTCTGCATTTATTTTGTGTATTTTATTTATCCAAAAAGAAGGAGTTACTTGGTCTCCTGAGTATGTGCCTTGGATATGTTGGGTAAGAGACTTATGCCATAAATTTACACCTAAGTAAATGTGCGAATCTTTTTTATCTTTTGCATAATAACTCAAGATAAAAAGAAGCAAGAGCTTCTTTCTCGGCTGTTTTCAAAAACTCATCAGAGCTCAATGAGGACCAAGAAATCGAATTCTTAGGTTTCTCATGCATGACAAGAGAAATGTTCTAGTTCTTAGTGCACAAAACACCTTATTTTTTAATGAGAAAAAGATATTCGGTTCCTCACCTGTCATAACACCCTGACTTGCCAGTATCATAATTGCTGTGAGCCCAATACTGAAAATAGCATTCTGTCCAAAGTTCAGCATCGCCAGTGTTGAGGTAGTTTTTAGTGAGGAAGATTCATAGACCTTCAGAAATCCATCGTATCTCTCAGCTTCATATTTTTCATTGTTAAAATACTATAAGAGGAAGGAGAAAGAGCAACATCTTGAAGGAATTAATTGAAAAATAAGAGTTAAACCTGTACAGAAAGATAGCTTAAGTCTTAGTTCCTTTCCAAGCCTGCAGGCACACAGGGAAAATAGTGATAGAGGTATTTAATTCGCAGGATTTACAATACACCAGAAAGATGTGGGCTGCTGAATTTGGACCAAATTTTCTGATTTGACATTCCTAAGTCCTTTACAGATGGAGACCAAGAGTAATCACGTACTTAACAGATCAGACAGGTGCTCCTTTAGTGAGCCGTCTGGTTAGAAAAAGAGGAATAAACTTCAACTCTTAATTTAAGTAATGATACATAAGTATTTGGTTCATGGACAAAGGTCAAAGCTCTTTCCCGTGGCTGCTTCTTCATCTACAGCAACATTTTGTTCTATTTATAGATGTACAACAAGTCAAATAAAAACGTGTACACAGTTTGAAACCACAGTGATCAAAAAACAAGGAGATGTTATTTGAGTGTAACATTGAAGTAAAAATATGCCACAGCTTCAATTTTATTCATCCTCAATCAAAACGTAAGCCTGGTATCCTCACTTACTAAGGTTAAAGGATTGGCTGACATAAGCGATATGAAGAACCCAATAAAATGCCAGCAACAATATCACCCTGCAACTCACATCTGGCAACCCACTGAAGGTATGCAGGTGTGAGCCTGGTCAGTACCTGGATGGGAGACCTCCTAGGAAAAACTAAGGTTGCTGCTGGAAGAGGTGTTAGTGGTGCCTTTTTACAGTATAGTGTCTCCGTCACTATACTGGGGCATTAGGATCCTCACAGACCGCAGGGTGAGCACCTCCTGCGGTCTGTGAGGATCCTAATGCCCCAGTATAGTGATGGGGACACTATACTGTAAAAAATTTGCCATCCTTTGGATGAGACGTAAATCCGAGATCCTGACTCTCTGTGGTCATTAAAAATCCCAGGACGTTTCTCGAAAAGAGTAGGGGTGTAACCCCAGCATCCTGGCCAAATTTCCCATTGGCCCTTACAAATCATGGCCTCCTAATAATCGCTATCTATGAATTGGCTTCATTACTTTGTTTTCCTCCCCACTAATAGCTGATGTGTGGTGAGTGTTCTCGTGCACTATGGCTGCCGTCACATCATCCAGGTGGGGCTGCACATTGGTGGTGGTGGAGGGGGAGTCCCCATTACTTGTACAGTGCTTTGAGTGGAGTGTCCTGAAGAGCGCAATCATTGTTATTAAAATAACCTTATTCATATTACAATTAAGATGCAAAAAATCATAGCAACAATATTTAGTTTGGAACTTTTAGTATTTTTCAACTGTTTCAGAATGAAACACTATAACTGCATTAGAGGAACACCTTTATACACAGGACACTGATAAAAAAAAATAAGGCCACAAGACACACAACAAACAAATGCACTTTCAGATTGTCTTTGCTTTGCTTCCAAAGGGTCGGATGTTAAAGAACTATATTGAGGCATTTCTTCAGGGATTCCAGGGAGATCGGCCTCAGCAACATGGCTGTTTGTCTTAAGTACAGACAATTCCACATACTGTGCCTAGAGAAATTCTACACACCCTTTCCAAAATACATTTTGTAGCCTAAACAACCTAAAGTCAAGACCTATTGTTATTTATTTTACTTTTACACATTGTAACATAGAAACTCCAAACGATAAACCATTCTGAAAAGTAACCAACAGCCTTCTAAATCATACAAAAATCTAGCCTCCACCTCCGTTCAATTTGAGTGATTTTGATGATTTCAGAATAAAATCATCTGGGTAGTGCATCTCAAAGTAAACGTCAACTATGGGCAACAAGGGGCTAACAAATGACTGCTGGGTTAGGGCTCATTAAAGATGTGAAAAGGAACAGAGCAGGCGACGGGTCTAAAAAAACTGCAAAGGCCTTAAATATCCCTCTGGAATATGCTAAGAAGAAAGAAAATTTAAAAAAAAAATGCAACCCAATCCTTTAATTAGAAGCTTTTGAAATTATTAAAATAATATTTAGAAGAACTATTTTGGAGACAGGAGAGGAAAATGGGGAAGTTCGCAACCTTACCTTTACCGTCTCGTAATTGAGTAACGAGTCAATGGCAGCATTTCCAGCTTCATTATCAGCTTTGTTCATTTCTATTCTGAACCTTGTCCTGATGGGGGAAAAAAGGAAAAACCGTTATGAGGGAGAATTCAGACCCTGTCAGCCACTTGAGTATCAGAATGAAGAGATGAATACCTCCACTGTGTGACTGCAATGGTGAAGGCCGTGTAAGCTGACAGTGTCCCCAGCGTAACCAAGGCGAACTGGCCTCCACATTTATAATACTAAAAGGGGAAGAAGAAGAAAAGAACTTAAGAATGACAAAATTCAATAATGGTGTGCAATTCAAACAACTTTCAGCAGTCAAGTCTGATTTGTTTTTCTTCCTAGCCTTCACACTTTTTTTTCTTTTCCCCTCCTTTTGCTGTGATTCAGTCTCTGCAACATTTTTACTCCATTTCAGCGTGTGTCCAATCACTTGTCCCGTCCTTTGATTCAATCACCTCAAGGCTACAATACAGGGCTGAGGGTCAATTTAGTCTTTTCTACCCCATCGTCTTATTTCCGTTCACAGGAGGACGCGGCTCATTTCAGCCTATCCCCCTCCTGGTCTCAATAGCGGTCGCTCGACAGGAGTGCCGTAATGTCAATCAGTCACAGTCCATTCTCGGGGCCCGTGACTGCTGGGGCCAGCAGAGTGACCTGTGGGTCAAAGCTGAAATCTGCATCGAAACCAAAGTGGGTTTCCTGATTGCACACACTCCATAGTGTATACCTCTTTCTCAGCCTTTCTCATCTCACTGCAAATGTACATACTGCCATCTTCCCCAACAGCATGTTATTAACATTATAAACAACAAAGTTATTAATATCACAAACAAACCTAACGCTAAAGTATTCCTTGGCATTTAACACTAAAAATTAAGAGAAAATATAGCATGGTAAAACATAAGGGGGTTTTGTCTTTTGACTGGAAGGTCAAATTAATTTTTTGTTTACGTGAAACAGTTCATTACTGGGCCTCAACCCCCAACAATACATTACAAAAATGTAAAGAAATATGACAAATTTCAGCAAAATCTACATAAAATCGCATTGATTGCCAGCCCTGTGTTCATTTTTTATGTGTGTTATATGTAACATTGTAAAAGTATAATTTAGTCTCTCAAATATTATGTACATTTCTTACAAAATGTGCAGCCCAATGAATGGGTTGAGTTTAGTTGTAAACCAAGTACTCTACCTATTTTTCTGATTCTGTCAGCTTAGGATATGGATTGTTTTGGAAGTAATGGAAGTAATGATGTAATGAAAGACACAATGTTTACTATTTTACTAGTTTTATAATTTTACTATTTAAAGGAATAAAAATTATGACTATGAATAGCAAAATGAACAATATACACCAACTACTATATAAACCAGGAAAACATATAGGAGATAAGGAACAAGTAATAGGTTTATTCCATGCTGAAAAAAAGAAGAAAGAGAACACAACGTTTCGGCCGTGGAGCCTTCTTCAGGTGTGAGAGAGACAGG